CAACTAGAGTGACTACCTGGCCAGTATTTTACTGACTTGGCTGGTAGAAAATGGTACTTGTTGCCAAGATTATTAATAATAAATGAGTCATGATGCCCGGTATTCCACAGAAAAGGTGGCAACCTTACCTCCAGATAACTTGTGTATTGTGTTGGCTCAGGAAGAATATTCCAAGTGTATTTTTGGTTAGTTGTAGTACAGTGTCAGTAATCATTTGTAATGGTATATGTTCATGGTGGCAGACAGGCTTTGTTCCAGCTTTGTTGTGCTACACCATGGTTGTGCTTTACTGCCTCTTATGTCACACTTTAACAGAAACATGGCTGCCTCAATGTACATACTGTATATAATGACAAATTAGACAAAGGCACAAGTTTATTTTTAAATATTAACACATTTTGTTTTGATTACTTACATACATTGTACTAAACTAAAGTGACTATACAGTTCTTTTATTGTCAATATATTTTTCATAGTTACATAGTATTTGAGGTTGAAAAAAGACACAGGTCCTTCCAGTTCAACCTTTATGTGTAAGTGTGTGTGTGTGTGTGTGTGTGTGTGTGTGTGTGTGTGTGTGGTTGTGCATGCATGTATATAAGAGTCCCTGTGTGGTCTAGGATTTAAGGGTACCTGTACCCCTGTATTTTACGGTATCTAATTGATTTTTGAATGAATCAATATTCTTTGCAGATACCACATTTTTTTTTAAACATATATTTATGTTTTTATTCACACAATAACAGGTCAAAAAAACTTCCATTATCCTCACAGGCCATTTGAAACGTAATACACCTTACAAAACCACCTTAAAATTTTGCTAAACCAAAAAATAAAAAAATATATATTTTGCAGTTCACCAGTCCTTAGATGTGGTGGACGCATTCAGTTTCTTTTTTTTCGAGGTTAAAACATTAAGTACTGGGGGCGCATGCGCGCGGCTGCCGATGACAGGCGGTAAGTGAGACAGCTCCGTGACTCCTCCGGACAATTACCCCATAAGCACGGAGCCAACTGCTCCCCATTAGCCGAAACTCACTTACCTTGCCCTCGGAACGACACCCAGCGCCAGCCATGTCGCAATCCAGATCTAAGAGCGGCCAAAAGATCAAAACTACGGGAAAACCTATAGCGGAGGCCTTAGCCCGCGCCTCAGCCAAGATGGCGACGGCTCCCGCCACACGCACGACCCCCTCACAGACTGCTTCAGCCTCGAGCAGCGACATGGAAGATGGAACACAGACACATCCTCGCCAACAGAAGCGCTCCCATTCAGCACTGTTACATCAGTTTGAAGCCATGCTACAGAAAGCTTTACATATAACATCTAAGCAGATTACTGACCGCCTCTTAAAGGAGATCCGCGAAATAGGCCACCGTACGGCGGCTCTGGAGGATAGATGTGATGACTTCACAAGTGATCTGGCGGTTCAGGCGAAGGAATTGGAGACTCTCAAAGATGACAATAAGACCCTTTTGTCTAAGCTAGAAGATATGGAAAACAGATCTCTCCGCTCAAACCTGCGTATTCGCGGCCTACCAGAATATGTCACAGATCTGTTTTCCACCGTCTCCCCTACCTCCTGTCCTCCTCTCTCTCATTTCTTCCTTCTTCCACTTTCCTCCTGCCCTCTCTGTCTCGCCATCTCCCAGGCTGCATGATAGGACCTGGTTATGGCTCAAATATGGTCCCGTATCCACCCCTCATTAGACTCCTGGGGCATCTTCCCCCACCTCTATTGACATGACCATCAAAATTTTAAGCCTTAATGTCCAGGGCCTTAACTCCCCTAACAAGAGAACGCGAGCATTCCGATTCTTTCGCTCCTCTCATGCGGACATTGTCTGCCTGCAGGAGACCGATTTCTCCAGGTCCTCATGCCCTAAATATTTCCACGCCCAATACCCTACCATATACATGGCCAACGACAATTGTAAGAGAAAGGGAGTATTGATCGGCTTTCGCCGCTCAGCCAACTTCATATGCCATTCCATAATCCGAGATCTCCTTGGCAGATACTTAATACTCACGGGTCTTTTACATAATTCTGAAGTCACTCTAGTCTCATACTATGCCCCCAACACTGACCAACTCCCCTTTTTCACAGGTCTAATGGGAAAAATTCAGGCTAGCAGCACGGGCACGGTCATCCTATGTGGCGATTCAAATTTAGTCCTCCTACCCCATAAAGACAGATCTAAAGATACTCCAACATACTTGACATCAGCCAAAGCATTCCGTGACATCCTCTCTACTCATGCACTCATTGATTGCTGGAGAGAGGTGAATCCTCATAAGGTAGACTTCACACATTACTCTCATCCACATGACGTCTTCTCCAGAATAGACCATATTCTCGTCTCCCACTCTCTAATCCCCTCTATCATGCAATCTAAAATTCTTCCCATACCGTGGTCTGACCACTCTGCAGTCACCTTACTTCTCTCAGGTATTTCCCCCCACAATAAGCCATTCACATGGACCTTGAATGATTCCCTATTATCTGACCCTACCACTAAGAACGCCATTGAGTCATGCTTATCCGACTACATGGAACTCAATCAGACGCCAGACATATCCCCAACTTTATTATGGGAAGCCCACAAACCAGTGCTTAGAAGAAAAATCATTCAACTAGCATCCCAACTAAAGAAGGAAAGGCTTAAACGCCTGACGTCTTTAGAACAGGAATACTATTCCTGTGCCCAAGCTTTTACCTGCTCCCCTACACCGTCTAATAGAGCTAAACTTGATGCGGCTCGTCAAGCTCTTAATCTATTATTGACTGACCATGCAGCCAAGCAATTACAACGCACGGCCCACAAATTTTACCTTAAGGGAAACAAAGCAGACACCTTACTGGCAAACAGACTACGATCTCTTGACCCTTCCTTCAAACCCTTTAGATTACGCGCCACTTCGGGAGCCCCCATTAGTAATCCTCTCATCATTCTGGACCTCTTCCATAAGCACCTCTCATCCCTCTATTCGGAGCCCAACCCATCCTCAACAGTTGATATAGACGGATTCCTGAATGGAGTTGACCTCCCTTCCCTCATGCCTGCACAAGTGGAGGCATTGGACGATCCTATCACCGAGCAGGAGGTTCTCCTAGCTATCAAATCGCTCTCCAAAGGGAAAAGACCAGGCCCGGATGGCTTTACTGTAGCCTACTACGACTCCTTTAAAAACAAAATTGCACCCCTTCTAACCGCATCTTTCAATTGCATTCGTTCAGGGGGTAAATTGAACCGAGACTCTCTTTCTGCGTCCATCTGCATGCTACCCAAACCGAATACGGATCAGTCTGAATGTTCCAATTTTAGACCTATATCATTACTAAATGTGGACGTAAAATTACTTGCTAAGGTCCTGGCAAACAGACTGAACCGGGTGATTGGGCAGCTAGTGACACAAGACCAGGTCGGTTTTATACCCAGTAGACAAGCCGGTGACAATGTCCGCCGAATCACATTACTTACACATATTGCCCGGGCACAACACACCCCTGCCATGCTTTTAACCCTAGATATTAGGAAAGCATTCGATACAGTATCTTGGCCCTACTTTTTCGCCACGTTACGACGATGGGGTTTTGGCCAACACTTCCTCAGGTGGGTAACCTCGCTATACCATAAACCCACGGCGCATGTAAAATACTCGGGATATCGCTCGCCGACGTTTAATATTCTCAGGGGCACCAGACAAGGTACCCCCTTAACACCAGGCGTCCCAGGAAGAGGTCTGTGACATCTGATATTCAACCACTTACTTGTAATACTTACTGGGAATAACCATCTGCACGCCCGAAAGCGTAACCTTAGCCAGCTTGTCAACCCCCGGCGGTGGATATCACCGAATTACAGGTTACGATTCATAAATGCAACGATAACACTGTATGTACATTGGAGTACTGTGAATATGCCTTGATTTACCTTGACACTTTCTTGTATTTTAACTTCAATAAAAATTTATATGGAAAAAAAAAAAACCCATTAAGTACTGAAAATACCTGTTGATCTCACTAGAAATCTTGTGTCCTTGAAACTTCCTATGCACTTAAAGGAGAACTATGGGGTTAAGGCTTTTCCCCATAGTTCTCCTTAGGGTAACGGGAGGACACAAACTAGCGTACTCCCGTCACCCTAGGCTCAGTATACCACGAGCTACTGCTCTCGGTATACTGAGACGCCGCAGCTGAAGCGGATCCCGACAATTATGTCTGGATCCGCCCAGCTGCGTGAGTGACAGCTGGCTCTGCCTATCTAGAGGCAGAGCCAGCTGTACCCGCCCCTCC